CAAAATACTATCCCAATTATGGTAGCATAGCTTTTCAGTCTGACAGCAGTTTCAAGCAGTGTGACTGTTGTGTTAACCTGGTAGGCAGCTCAGCGCCATGCTCGCTACCCCACAGTGGGTACAGGAGGGAACTGGGTGTTAATTTTAATAGGACAGGAAAGGAAGGGAAAATAATAATAATGATGATTAAAGAATATACAGAACAAGTGATGCAGAAGTGCAAGTGACCCATGCCCAGCCAGTCCCTGAGCAGCAGCTCCCCACCCCATCCAGCTCCCTCAGTTTTATCATTCACCGTGATGCCATATGGTATGGGAGAGCCCTTTGGCCTGTAGGGGCCAGCTGTCCTGGTTCTGTCCCCTCCCAGCTCCTTGTGTTCCCCCAACTCCTCACTGGTAGTGCAGGACAAGAAGCTGAAATGTCCTTGGCTCCATGAGCACTGCTCAGCAACAACTAAGACATCAGTGTGCTTCCAACATTACTCTCATAATAAACGCCAAACACTGCACCAGCCCAGCTACTTGGAATAAAATCAACACTATCCCAGCGGAAACCAGGACTGGGACTTTTACTTCAATTAGATTTACAAATAATATAGATTGTGTTTCAAATGAAGTTCTAAATAAACATAAGTTTCTCAGTAATTAAATTATATGACAAACAAAAATTTTTTTAACCGCCTTAGTCATAAGAAAATTGTAAAAAGTGGCTCTGTAGGATGGTCTCCCAAGGATTTTGTACTGAGGCTGCTCTGCTGAAGGGTTCTTATTACTCTCTGGTACTCTTGCTGGTATTCATGATAGTGTTGGTACAAGAAGAGAGAGCAGACATGAATGTGCAGTCAGATCGGGGGAAAGCACTCTCTTGGGGCAGCAAAGAGAAACACATCTGTTTAACCTGACTGTGGGACAGGATCTGTAGGATTTGGCTCTCCTTTGAAGAGGGTGTGCAGACAGGAAAAGACTTTCTTCAGTTCAATCAAAGTGTTCTTAGCCTGGGGAAAGAAACAGCTCTGAGAAAAGACTCTCTGGAGAAATGCCAAGTGTGGTATTCCTCATTGTCACCCACCTTGTGCCCATCTGCTTTCTTTTCAGCATGTGCTCTATCAGCACATTTGTGCGAATGCTTTATAGCACTGTGCTTGGGGATGCAGCACCTCATCTGCTCTTGAGGATTTGCTGACAGCCTCACAGTGTTTGAAGCCTGAAGATGTGCCCACCGTAGGGCTCAGTGCCACCTCCAGCATGTGGTGGTGCTGTAACAGGGACAGTGGGAATGTGACTGCCCTCTAATCCCTCTTGCTTTTTTTGGCTATTTCAGCCTCCACATCAGTCCACAAAGAGATTGATTACTTTGAAAGAAAGGATGCACTACCATCATAGTGCAAAGAGAAGAAGCACTTTTGCTGGTAAAAATCAGGAGCTAAATCAGCAAAGTATACTGGCCAAAAACTGTTTATGCATTGAACCTTACTGGGGTATTAGTAACATAAGCTATATCTTAGAGTGCAGAATTATTACTAAGACAAAGGCATGATACATGTTTTTAGGTTCCTTCACACATTTTGACTCATGCTGTGAGTTGATATTAACAACATCACCATCACAACGTAAGAAAAAAAGTTCTGTGCATGTATATAAAATTTCCTATACATTCACAAATCTGTGGCATCAGAGAATAATTGTACACACAATTCCAATGGCTTAAATGGGGCTTTCTTTGCATGTGCAAGTCCAATTCTGTCCAGAAAATGTGAACAATAATTTACTGTGCCTCACCTAGGAAGGGCAGCTGAAGAATGTGCTGAGTGCCCTTGAAGTACTGAAGCCAGGTGGCAAACTGCTGTGGTTTCAAGGCCAGCATAATCTGGGTTTTGGTCTCCCTTCAGATAATCAATCACATAGCTAGGGACCACTTACCCTTTTTGTGCCCTCTTCTGTCAACAGTTTTCCGTGGTCACTGTCTCGCTTTCAGCTGGCCTGAAGTATTCAAACCAAACTTTTAATTGAGGTGCAGTTTGGAATATTACCTAATCTGTCCATGACAGCAGGATGCATTCTGTCAGTGTGCTGAGCGAGGAGGGAGTGCAAAAGTATGGCTACATCCAGGAGACATTTCTGACCCAACTTTTTATTTGCAAAACATTTCATGGTTTGTTTTGTTTTAATTGAAATGATGCATGTTGAAAAATGGAGACCAGAAAGGATGCAATAGCAGAAAGGTTTCGTATTCATATTTTTACAAATACAGATCTTTATATTTTAATACCAAAGAGCCTGTAATTTCAAAAATCCATTATACTAAAACCCTTTTAATTCTCAGTTGAAATGAAAAGCTTATAGGGCAGAGTTCAAATAAACTATTTTGTTTATCTCAAGACTGATGTATTTTAGTTGCTTTGGCTCTTTATAGAGGGGAAAAAACCCTACCAAAATAATAAAACAACAACAACAAAAAACTTTAGATATTTGAACAGCTTTACTGAAAATAAAATACCAAGAAGGCTGAAACTGTCAGTGCATTAGTACCTCCGGGTCAGCTTTTTGACCTTGCTGCTCTACTTTGAAAAAGTACTTTCTAAATTAAAAAATATGCATGTATAACTCAAGGGCTATAAAAGTGCTTCAGAGTGAGAATTTTGTATCTTTCCTAAAAAATGCTTGTCTAATCTTCTTAATACTTCCCATGATAGAAACAGACTTCTCCAGTCCTGAATTAATTTCACAGAAAAAATTGTTCAAGTTTTTGATTGATTTTTTTTTTCCTCCAAAGCAAGCATTTTTATCCAACCTGCTGTAGATACACAGAACAACCTTCCTTATTTGTTGGTGACAGCCTTACAAAATCTGTTATTGTGCCCATTCTAAATTTTCTCTTCTTTAACCTTATCAGTTCCGGTTCACTAAATCTCTCTTCACAGGTCATATATTCTAGATTTCTGATCTCTTTTCAGAAAGATATGGAGCTCTTTCTTAGGGATTTTTCAGATAGCTCATGCTTTGAAATCTGGTGCCCCAAATGGATACAGCATTCCAGCTCAATCTTTACCACTGCCAAGCAGAATTGAAAGATTAATTCCTGCTCTTTGCAAGCTGTTCTTGCATACACATTGCAGTATGATTGCTTTTTTTTTGCAGAAGCACAACTGTGACTCTTGCTCAGCTTGTGATCTGCTGTATCTCCCAGGTTGCCATGTGGTGTTTCCTATCAGGAACAGCTGAATATTTCTGCCTGAATGTAGTCCCTCCTGGTTTTCCATACAGCATTTCAAACTCCTTTTCCAAGCAGTGCTCCCATTTCTGAAAATTATTTAAAATTTTTGCAATGCTTTCCTGTTGCACATATTGAGATTTAGTGTGGTTTCTGTTCTATCATTTGAGTTCTTAATGAAAACATTTTCCATTTTGTAATGGACCTTGATTCAGTAAGAATTTTCAGTTGTTTAGAGACTCATTAACAGCAGCTCTCTGGTTATGGTTTTACACTCACTTTTCACTCACTTTAATCTAAGCCTTGTTTCTTATATTAGCTTTTGAAATTGTTGTATGAAATGGTGTCAAAAATCTTGCTGAAGTCAGAATATATGACAGCCTTTTGTTTTTCTGTCATGACTCATAGAATCATAGACTGATAGATAGGAAAGACCAGTAAGATCATCCAGTCCCACCATTAACCCATGCCTGTGCCCACACTAGACCATGTCCCACAGTGCGATATCTACTCTTTTATTGAACACCTCCAGGTACAGTGACTCCAGCACCTCCCCTCCCGGGGCAGCTTGTTCCTATGCTTGAATTTTTTCCTGATATCCAAGTTGAACCTCCCCTGGTGCAATTAGAAGCTATCACCTCTCGTCCTCCTGCTGTTACCTGGGAGAAGAGGCCAATCCCCACTTCATCACAACCTTCTTTTAGGCAATTCTAGAGTGAATACTCTCACCCACCTCCCAAGCAAACTGCCTTGTGATTTGTTGCAGACAAACTCATTACTTACCTGCCTATCACTCCTTTTTTTTTATGTTTCCTGAGTATTTGTTCAGTTTTTTTTCAGTGCATTGAATTTGAACAGACTGCTCTAATAATGAAAGCCTCACATCCACCAGCCATCTGATTAACCATCTTTGCTCACTAATAGTGGTAGTGCTGAAGCCATTTCATTGCCTTCTTGGCTATGTTAGGATTGAGTCCATAATACACACATGACCTGAAAACTTAGAATTTATGGAAATGTTTTTAGTTTGTTTTACTATTTTAGGCAATTAAATTTCCTTGTGACTGGGCACTACAGGTGCTATCTGCTGTGCTGCAGTGGCCACCACGGGCTGAAAGGAGAGGAGTATTTGGTTCAGCCAAGCTCTTGATCTACTCTATCAAATTCAGCCCAAAGTCACCTCATTTGCAGTTATAGTGGCAATGCTGGCAGTGTTGAATCAAGTAAATGGGAAAAGAAGATGGGAATATATAGTAGTTCAAGGTGAATAGAAAAACTTTTATTTCAGACATGGCTTACTTGTAATACAATGACACAAAGTATTATTTCCAGAATCTGACAGTAGGTTTTGTAATGTGAAATACCATCCAGGAGTCCTAACTGAAGCATGTTATTCTGACACCAGACTCCAATCTTCATCTATTTAAATAAATCTCCTGGGCCAGGGGGCACAAGGGACGAGATTTATAGGAAAGGAAATGAGAATGTTATCTCCACTTTGCTGTGTAATACGCGTTTAAGAATGGCTAGAACTCTCTGAATAATGAATATATCTCTATGTCATGGTAGTGCAAAATACTGTCTGTAGAACAGTAATTGCAAATGAGAACTGAGAAGCAGTTATTGGAAAATTGTTACAGACCTTAGTAAATTGCTAATTTCCAAAAAAAAAAAAAAAAAAGCCATAGATTTCATTTTGTAGGATGACTTTCAATTATGATAAAAAACATATTTCATATTTCAAAACTAGAATGACTCTGATACTTTTTTTTTTTTTTAATTCCTTGCAGCTCCCAGACAGCTGTATAATGGATTACTATGAAAAATACAAGCACAGAATGAATGAGCTTGAAGCATTTAATATGGTAAAAGTTCTAAGATTAATACCGTTACCTTGTATATATGTGGTAGTTTAGAACAAAGCCCTGTTAAGTTTTATGTGGAGGTAGACTGTCTTACATTCTGGTATGCAATCTCAAAAACAAAGCAGCTCCACTTCCAAACTTCGGAGCATATCTCATTCCAAAACTATATTAGGTGTCAGTAAAATAATAAAGCGAACACATGGAAGATTCTTTTTCAAGGGGGACCATTACCCTGGAAAATAAAATGTTAGTCTCCTTTTAAAGCTAGAATGGTCTCCATGCAGTTATTTCATAAAAATTCTTTGTATTAAAATTCATTATTTCCCTCTTTAAAATTGTTCTACCTCATATAATATCATTTTCATGTTGGACAACACTTCAAAAACAACTAATAATGTAGTTTTCTAGCTTTATGGCTTTCCATGTATTTTTGATCTTTAACGTAATCTGTTCTGAAGATGTCCATCCTACAAGGTGACATCTGTACAACAAAGCCCCTAGAAATTGATTGACCTTCCTGGTATTATTTTGTTGAAGTGGAGCCATTGGGAAGTGTATTGGCTCCCTTTCCCAAAATCATAACAGTATCTAATCTTTCTTTCAGCTAAAGGTTGTGCTAGCTCCCTGCATAGAAGTTTTGATACTTCTGGATCGTCTTTGCTACCTCAAGGAGCAGGTATTTTTGCATTACATTTTATGGTACCTAAAGGCTACATCAGAGAAATGAGACTATTTCAGCCCATTTATTACTGTGCAGACAAAAGTCTCTGTTGTAGAATTATTTTCTCATATTTGCAAAAGTATAAGCATTCATTCTATTTAGTATAAACATATGCCCAGCAGATGTTTTTATTTTCAGTAAAGCAGCAACAGTAAAGCTTAGGTTCATTTAATCGAATAGTAATTACAAGTCAATAAATGATAAAAAATGAATAAATTGTATATGCAACAAATCTCATTTAATATGACATAGAGATTATTAAAAAAAATATTGGAAATGCAAGACAAACATTATACTGCACATTTTAGAGCTTCCAAAGGATATTTTGTAGAACATATAATTCAAGAAATTTTTAATTAGGTCCCATTACATTGCTTTTATTGTTTATTAATGAATATCTGTGATGAGAGGGGTACACTTTTACCAACCATATGGATCAACTGAAGTACATTTGATAAGCAAATGCTACTATATTTACTCTATAATGATTTATGATACAGTGTTTCTACTAACACTAATTTTGACCTTGACTTGATAAATTCAGAAGCATCAATCACTCTTTCTCTGCACTGGTAAACGTATTTTTGGACAAGCAACAATTTTATTGGAGGACATGGTAGCATCTTCCAGCTCCTGCTTTGGTCCATGGTGAAAATGAAATTTTAATATACAATTTAAACCCATTCATGTGAATAGCTGTTTTTCCACTCTAAGCCTTTCATTTTAACAGCTTCTTTTTATCATATCTAAAAATTTACTTTCTTTTTTGCCACAGAACTCTTGGAACAACTGAGCTGTAGTAAATGTATGTTTTTGTTCTAGCTGGTATTTTTACAGAGAGACAATATGAAATATTTAAATAATGATGTATTTTCCCACATGCCAACCAGTTATAAATCACACAGAGATCTGTATGATTTCCAAGACAGGAGATCAGACTTGCTGCATTTAATTCTAATTTACCTTTCCTAAATGTAATATACCCATTGATTTAATCTTGTACTGGTTGATTTACAAAATATGTTTAGGAAGAAAAAATAGAAATGATAAAAGCCATATGCAACATGAAGACCAGATCCAGCTGGCCTTATTCATTTGAAAAGTCAGTTAATTAGCTGCAGTAGTAGAATGTGCTGCATAAAACAAGTAGGACTTGATCCTTAATATAGTTTCTGTAGTTCAGCTGGGAAAAAAAAAAAAGCTTTATTGATGAAGGAGGCGGTAAATTGTCATTTCATGGTTCCAGAAATAGTTTAATGACTTTAAGATATATCCTTCTTCGCATTTCCTTTTTTTTACAACAAACTTTCACTATTTTTATTGTTAGACAAGTGTTCTTCTCATTTTGCATTAGGAATTTTTTTTGGGGGGGAGAGGATAGAGGGGCAATGCAGATCTATTACCATATCTTAGCTTTTAAGTCAAAGACATTTGAATGTACTTCAATCATATATCGCTTTGCAGAACAACATTGCCTGGTCAGGACTTGTGAAGTTATTTGATCCTGTGAAATCCCCCAGATGCTGTGCAGTTATTGCTCTGAAGAAACAGTCGTGTCTTTAAGTGGAAGCAAACTGCAGATGGGTTGAAAGCGCTGAACTGATACTGCTGTTTCCTCATTGTTCTTTTTAATTGATTCCTCAAGTATACTGATACATTTGGCAACTATTTACTTTTCAGATGCAAAAATAATAAATGCAATGCCTCTGTGAATCGTAAGAAATAAATTGTGATCTGTACCTCTTTTATAATCACCACTGCTTCCTCATGTCAGTTATTAAGTAATGCAGGATATATGATTTTCTTATAAAAGTTATGACCTGTATTATGTGATTAACATTTTAAAATAATTTTTATGTTTCGTCTTTTTAAGGCACTATTCTTATCTATCAATGTCCTTCCTCTTGGTATTTTTAATTTCAAGATTATTCTTCCATAGAAATCTTCTATTTTTCCAATGGATGACATCAACAATCTTAGGCAAGCCTGGCTTTTTTCTTTTCTGGATTCAGACCACACATAGTTTAAACAGAAAATTAATCTGTGTTATAGACAAGAAGTGTGTAGACTAACTAAGTCTTTGTACTTTCCTGCTCTCCAAGTGAACTAAGGCAGCTTACTGTAGAGCAACCTGAAGAGTCTAGAACCTTCTAAGACTAAATACTAAACACCCACAACAGGGGTTTTATATTAATCTCTTCTTCCTTCAGGCGTGTTCCTGACATGTCTTACTTGCCAGTGACTCTGAAAGAAACAACTGAGTGTGATGTAATCCATTGTATTCCAATATTAAATAATCAGCTGCCCTGCTGCATTTCATTCTAATCCTTGGGTTTTATGAGTAAGCTATTATCTGGCCCAAATGTGTTAGGTATAAGCATAAAAATGTTGGTGCCTAAATTAGTTGAAACTTTCTAGTTAGTTTCTGCTTAGCCATACTGACTTTATGAGTGAGAAATTTATTTGTTGATGTGCTCATCTCAGTCTCATCTCCTTAAGCCTGCAGATATACTATCAATTAAAAAAAGACAAAAGTTTCTATTCTAACTCCTAGTGCTTTTATTAGAACTTTCCAGTGAATATAAAAAATAATTAATTACAGGGAGTATTAAAAAAGGCCGACCAATAAATAATAGAATTCAACATTAAAAAATAAAACCAGAGAATGCAACTTTGGTGGGCAGCAAATGAGAGTAACAGAAAATATTTTTATATTAATTATATAGTGATATAGTAATAGATTTGAGAATCAAACTGAGATTCCAATCTAGGGAACGTTAAATCTTATTCTGTTTCAGTCTGCAAAATATAATGTGAGCTTTTGAGCATGACCATTCAAGAAAAGGGAAGTAGGGTGTTTTTCTAACATGTCACATCTCTTTTCATGGATTCACTTGGAAGAAATAAATGTTTTTAGTAGTGTAAGTAATTTCACTGCTGTCTGTTTTAGGACTTTCAGTCCTTACTAGCTCAGTGGATCTGCTGAATGTGGTGCTGAATGTCCTAGTAATGGAGGACAATGAGAAGATGCAGTTACTGAACAACTTCTTTGCTTCAGTCTTTACTGCTACAACTGCCCCTCAGAAATTCCAGACCCTGGATACAAGAGTTGAGTCTAGAGAAAGGAAGACTTCCCTTGGTCAAGTAGTATCTGATCAGAGATTGTCTAGGCAAACTTTACCACAAATCCATGAGGCCCAATGGGATGCACCCATGAGGGCTGAGGTAACTGGCAGAAGTGACTGCCAAACCACTCTCTATCATCTTTGAAAGGCCACGGAGAATAGGAGAAGTTCCTGAGAATTGGAGGAAAGCCAGCGTCACTCCACTCTTCAGAAAGGGCAAGAAGAAAAATCTGGGCAACAGGCTAGTCAGACTCACTTTCATCCCTGAGAAAGTGATAGAGCAGCTTATTCTGGATGCCATCTCCAAGCAAGTGGAAGAAAAGGTTATCAGGAGTAGTCAGCGTGGATTCATCAAAGGAAAATCATGTTTGAACAATATGGTAACCTATGATGTCATGACTGGCTGGGTAGATGAGGGGTGAGCAGTGGATGTTGTGTACCTTGACTTCAGCATGGCTTTTGACACTATCCCACAATATGCTCATGGATAAGCTTAGGAAGTGTGGGATAGAGAAGTGGTCAGTGAGATGGATTGAGAATTGGTTGACTGGTAAAGCGCTGATGGTTGTGATCAGCAGCTTGGATTACAGTCAGAGGCCTGTAGCTAGCGGCATTCCCCAGGGTTCGGTACCAGTTAAGATCTTGTTCAACATTTTCATCAATGACCTGAATAAAGGATAGAATGCACCTTCAGCAGGTTTGCTGTTTAGGCAAAGCTGAGAGGACTAGCTGACACACTGACAGGCTGTGCTGCCATTCGGTGAGACCTGGTCAGTTTGGAGAGGTGGATGGAGAACAACCTGATGAGATTCAACAAGGGCAGTTGTAGAGTCCTGCACCTGGGGAAGAATAACAGCATGCATCAGCACGGGTGAGGACAGGCATGTCCAACTCACAGCCTGCGGGCCACATACAGCCCAGTGCAGCTCACAATGTGTCCCGCTCCCTCCCTACCCTGTGGCATAATGACAATGATTCTTCTGCATGAAGCAGCTTGGCCCAGCCCCAGGTGGGCAACCGTCATGCAGCAACAACCAAATTTGGGTGTGTTATTAACTCTGGCTGAGCTGAAAGCAGGACGTGGGGCATAGTGCAGTGCTAACTCAAGTTCTGACAAATATATCTATGCATTTTGATGCGCTGGCTAAACACAGTGTGTGAACAGCAAAAAATATGCAGCTGTGCCTTTTGATACAAGAATTTGACAATAGGTTTCAACATTGCCAAAAACTTACCATTTTTTTTAATATTTGTGACTCCATTTTCAATTGACATAAATAAATGATTTGCAAATTTTCAAATGGAATGTATAGAGTTGCAATCAGATATCCAACTAAAAATATTGATGATGTCTCTGTACTGGACTCTTATGAGCCTGTTTTAGCAGAGAGAAATATCCTTCGCTTCACAATCACACCTTACTCATGTCACCACTTTTTGGCAATACCTGCATTTGTGAACAGCTGTTTTCAAGGAATAATCACAGAAAGAGAAAAATTTCATCAAAAAGCTCTGTTTAACATGTTGAGAACTCACTGAGAATGGCATTCACTTCCATTGAACCACAGTGATGCATTAGTGTCACAAAGTCAAAGATCCCACCCGTTCAATGATTATTTTTCTTTTGCTCTCTCTATTTATGTTTTAATAAAAAATATCAAAAAAAATATTTACTTATATACATTGACTATATTATATTTTTTATGAGGGTTGATTTGAAAGTAATTCTCCTATTTTATGATGTTGGCCCATGGTGTCAGAGGCAGATGTTGGTGGTATGGCAATAGAGGTTCAGCCTTCCCACCAATATTCCGTTACATTTTGTTATCGTGTGACAGATGGCAGCAGAGGGGTAGAATGGTGTCTGACATGGAACTACTGATGAGGCAGAGGTGTGTTCTTGAATTCCTCCGTGTGGAAAAAATGGCACCCACAGACATTCACTGGCACTTGCTGAATGTTTATGAAGACCCATCAGTAGAGGTGAGCACAGTGAGGCAGTGGGTAATGCCTTTCAGCAGTGGCAGCAGTGACAGTGGGTCACCTCTGCTGGTGCAAGTTTTTACAAGCATGGCATGCAGGCTCCTGTCCATCACTGATGAAAATGAGCTAATGGTGGTGAATATGTTAAAAAATAGTGTTTCGTAGCTGAGAATTTTTTCTATCAAACAGTGTTACAGTGCTCGCTATATCTTTTGTAGTTTCCATGGGAATAAATAGGAGGCATTGCTTTCAAAGCAGCCTATGTATATGCTACCCCATAAAATTCTTCTTCACTCAGTGCAGCCCAGGCAAGCCAAAAGGTTGGGCACCTATGGGTTATGGGCTGATGTACTGGAAGGGAGCTCTACAGAGAAGGAGCTGCGTGTCTTGGTGGACAACAGGTTGACTGTGAGCCAGAGGTGTACTCTTTTGGCCAGGAAGGCCAATGATATCCTGGAGTGAATTAAAAAGAGAGTGGCTAGCAGGTGGAGGGAGGATATCCTTCTCTTCTCTGCCCAGTGAGGCGACATGTGGAGCACTGTGTCAAGTTTTGGCTCCTCATTTCAAGAAAGGCAGGGAACTTCTGGAGAGAGTCCAACATAGGGCCACAAAAATGATGAGGGGCCTGGAGCATCTCCCTTCTGAAGAAAGGCTGAGAGATGTGGGACTGTTCAGCCTGGATAAGAGAAGACTGAAGGGGGATCTTATTAATGCTTATAAAAATCTAAAGGATAGGAGTCAAGTGGATGAGGCCAGGCTCTTTGCGATGGTGCCAAGTGACAGGACAAGGGGCAGTGGGCACAAACTAGAAAACAGCATTTATATCCGAACATGAAGAAAAATAACTTTTCTTTGAGGGTGACAGATTAGCGGAACAGGCCGCACAGAGTGGTGGTGGAGTCTCCTTCTCTCAAGATATTAAAAAAATGCTTTCCTGTGTAACTTTCTATAGGGAACCTGCTTGGACTAGCTAATTTCCAGAGGTCACTTTCAATGCCTACAATTTTGTGATTCTGTGATCCAGTACGAGCTTCTCACATTTATTTAGCTCTAGCAGGTTCAATCCTTAGAGTGCTGAACAGTTGCAATACTCAAGGAAATCAACTTCAGCTGCAGGTGCTCACAGCATCTCTGGAGTACAACTAAAAAGAGAAAATGAGGCCTTCCATATATGAGATTCTTTGGTATATAGAGAGTACTGAGGAAAATAACAAGCTGGTAGATTCTTTACCCAGGAGAGAAATCAAAAGAAATAAAAATCTTTTCTTAACCTCTAACACCTGGAAGGAAATATGAATAGTATCCAATATAAAGAAGGAACTTAAGGTAAATAATGTCTAAAAAAAGATGAACAAAAATATAAAAAAATAAGCTTATTATATTGGCTTTGCTAATTATGATGTCTAATTATTAGTATAGAGATTTGCCATCCCAACCTTGTGTGCTGTTGGAAAAATTTACTTGGGTTCTAATTGCCTTTATTGTGTTATAAATTGTTTTTCCTGCTTTTTCAGACCACATACCAAAAACCGGGCATATATGGTGTCCAAACAAAGTTATCACAGTTATTGACTGAATGCAAATTTTTAAGAGTACCCTGTATTTGCAAGA